TATCTATATATATCCTTCTTTTTGTGTTTGTCCTTCTTTCCTATCAAACATCTATCATCCATATCTCCTTCTTTCCCATCAAACATCTATCGTCCATATCTCCTTCTTTCCTATCAAACATTTATCGCCCATATCTCCTTCTTTCCTGTCAAACATTTATCGCCCATATCTCCTTCTTTCCTATCAAACATTTATCGCCCATATCTCCTTCTTTCCTATCAAACATCTATCGTCCATATCTCCTTCTTTCCTATCAAACATCTATCGTCCATATCTCCTTCTTTCCTATCAAACATCTATCGCCCATATCTCCTTCTTTCCTATCAAACATCTATCGCCCATATCTCCTTCTTTCCTGTCAAACATCTATCGTCCATATCTCCTTCTTTCCTATCAAACATCTATCGTCCATATCTCCTTCTTTCCTGTCAAACATTTATCGCCCATATCTCCTTCTTTCCTATCAAACATTTATCGCCCATATCTCCTTCTTTCCTATCAAACATCTATCGCCCATATCTCCTTCTTTCCTATCAAACATCTATCATCCACATCTCCTTCTTTCCTGCCAAACATCTATCGTCCATATCTCCTTCTTTCCTATCAAACATCTATCGTCCATATCTCCTTCTTTCCTGTCAAACATTTATCATCCATATCTCCTTCTTTCCTATCAAACATCTATCATCCATATCTCCTTCTTTCCTATCAAACATCTATCGCCCATATCTCCTTCTTTCCTATCAAACATCTATCATCCACATCTCCTTCTTTCCTGCCAAACATCTATCGTCCATATCTCCTTCTTTCCTATCAAACATCTATCGTCCATATCTCCTTCTTTCCTGTCAAACATCTATCATCCATATCTCCTTCTTTCCTATCAAACATCTATCATCCTTATTATTGTCTTCTTTTTCTTGTATTTGTTACTCACGTGTAATGTAACAATTCTTATTTTGGGCTCTTGTTTGGCCTTTATGTGTGTTGCAACTGCCGAAAAGTTGTTTAACTCTTACTAAAACCAAAAGAAAAATATCCACATCCTTCTTCTAGTGCTGTGTGGATGTGTGGAATAAATATATCCACATCTTTCTTCTAGTGCTGTGTGGATGTGTGGAATAAAAATGTCCACCTCTATCTTCTAGTGCTGTGTGGATGTGTGGAATAAATATATCCACATCCTTCTTCTAGTGCTGTGTGGATGTATGGAATAAATATATCCACATCCTTCTTCTAGTGCTGTGTGGATGTATGGAATAAATATATCCACATCCTTCTTCTAGTGCTGTGTGGATGTATGGAATCCCCTTGAACCAGCCAGAGCCTGGGTATGATAAGATCAATCAATGGCTTACCTGTAAACAAATATCAGCTGTAGTCCTGATCTTTCCTTCCTTTTATTGTTTTTTTTTTTTGGTTTTTTTTGTGTGTTTTTGGGGGGGGGGGGTATTGTTGGGTTTTTTTTGTGAGTGTGTGTGTGTGTGTGTGCGCGCGCGTGCGTGCGTTAAACTCTCTTGTAATACCAGAGAGTCTAAAGGTATGATTTATACTCTCTTGTAATACCTCTAATCTTGGGCACGTATCATGGCGCAATTGTGTTGCATGCGTCGTAAAACGAACAGTTTCCCATAGCTTTCTCTGCTTCTGTGTGGAGTTTCCATGAAGCCAGAGTCTGGACCTTCTCGGACAAAGGCGAAAAATCTCGGAGGGCCCGTGTGCAAGTTGCGCACGTTAAAGATCCCTTGGTGGTCTAAAATCGATAAGAGTAGGCTTCGGCCGCCACCCGGGCAAAATTCAAAATTTCCTACCAACTGAAAATATTAGGTGTGTCCCGCGCGCTCATATGACCTTATGCAGTTGCGAGCACCGTAAAACACTTTACAACTAACAGCAGAGTCTGGGTATTATGAGATAAATCAGTGACTTACCTGTAAACCAACATCTGTTGTAGTCTTGATCCCTCCTCCTTATTTTGTTGTTGCTGTTGTTTTGTTTTGTTTTGTTTTGTGTGTGTGTAACTCTCTTGTAATACCTCTTATCTCCCCTCGGCTCGTATCATGACGTGTGGGTGGTTGGCGGGGGCTCTGGTGTGGTTTGCTTCTTCTTTACAATCAAACATCTATCGTCTTTCGCTCCCCTTCTTCTTTTTTTATGTTTGTTACTCTCTTGTAATACCTCTAATCTTCTGGCGCTCAATATGACCTTTTATGCAGTTGCGAGCGACGTAAAACCTCTGCTAAAACTAAACTAAACTAAACATCTATCGTCGTCCTTCTCTCCCTTTCTTCTTTTTTATGTTTGTTATGTACACTCTTGTAACACCTCTAATCCTCTGGCGCTCATATGACCTTATGTAGTTGGGAGCGCCGTAATACCTCTACTAAAACTATTTTTTAAAACCCGCTTACTAAAACAATACCTCTAATCTTGGGCACGTATCATGACGTAATTGGGTCGCATGTGTCGTCGTAAAACTCTTTGTTTCCCCAGCACCCTCTGCTGCTGCGACGAGCTGCCACGAAGTCAGAGTCTGCGTATGTGGGTGGTTGGCGGGTGCTCTGGTGTGGTTTGCTTCTTCTTTCCTGTCAAAGATCTGTCGTCCTTATCTCCCCTTTTTCTTTTTTATGTTTGTTACTCTCTTGTAACACCTCTAATCTTCTGGCGCTCAATATGACCTTATGCAGTTGTGAGTGCCGTAAAACCTGTACTAAAACTAAAAAGAGTCTGCGTACGAGATCAATCAATGGCTTACCTGTAAACAAACATCTGTAGTCCTGATCTCTCCTTCCTTTTTTGTTGGGGGGGGGAGGG